TGTAGGAAGGAGATCCTGGAGAGAATGGGAGTACAATGTGGAACAAAACCTAAAATCATTTGAAAAAAAAAAAAGGGACCAGGTTTGCTGGTCTGATAGAGCTTGATGGAACCACTGAAACTGTGGCCCCTAGCTGCCCTTCAGGTCTGGAATTGAACCCACGCCTGTGGCTTCCAGCCAAACAAAAGACAGGCATATGAGCTGAACATTTATATTAGGTAGATACCTCCTTGGAGAGATCAAGCATGGGAGAATAGAAGGGCTATGTATGCAGAGGGAGACAGCTCGGAGGGCAGGAGTGCATGTGAGGTAAGGACACAGGGAAGAGGTAACTATGGGGAGGAGGAAGGAGGGGAGCAATTGCATTGTAGGAAATTGCAGTCAATGTCATGAGACAAAGTGTATGTGAGTGCTATATGGAAAGTGAATTTGCTCTGTAAACTTTTACCGAAATCACAATTAAAAAAAAAAAAAAAAGCCTCCAAACTCTAAGAGAATAAACTCCTGTTTGTTAAAGCCAAAAAAAAAAAAAGTTAACAGGTAAGTAAACATGCTAAGCACAGTGATTTAAGCTCTAACAAATCTATAAACTACCCAGGGCTACATGACAGCCTAAGGGTCCCTGGGTGATGAAATGGTTAAGCACTGGACTAATAACCAAAAGGTAAACAGTTCAAACCCACCCAGAGTTGCCAGGTGTCAGAGAGACAGGCCTGATGATCTGCTCCTGAAAGGTCCCAGCCTTGAAAACCCTACGGAACAGTTCTGCTCTGCACACATGGGATGCTGTCCAGTTGATCTGCACATACAGTACTACGTTGTCAGTGAAGACAAACATGGATACACGGGTGGATAGACAGGTGGACAGGCTGAACTATTAGGTATGCCTGTGCAGGGGGTAGTATATCCAAGACCATGTCGATTTTAACTTGACAGCAACTAACAACACAACAGCCTGGACTCTAAGTTTCATGGTCTCCTTCCTAGAAAGCACTGAGTGTATCTTCTACATGACAATTCTCAAATCTAATATCACTGTGGAAAGTAATACAAACATTCAGTTTCCAAATCTAGAACTCACAGCAGCCCAGTTATAAGTATACTACTAACTTGGTGATGGGCATGACTTTTCCACTCATTCAGCACACTCTGCAGAGAGCCTGCTATGTATAAAGCATGTGACTGATGATTTTTACAGTAGAGGTATAATGGTGAGTTAGTAATATCTCCTTCACAAGGATGGCCCCTTGTTATATATTAAGACCCTCTGAATAGGGCTCCTATCCAAGACACATAATCAGCCAAAGGCATAAGGGACTTGCTGTTCACATGAAAGAGTTCATAACAGGTACATTACTCTAGTTTTCAGGGCAATTTCATCCATGTTATTAAACTCTTGAGACCTTACGAAATCTAAGTACTGACAGTTACAGAGTTACTTAGATGCTACATTCCTCATTCCTGGTCATCAAATAAGTATGACGTGTGGAATCACATGTACATGAAATGCATACCTGTCTAGAATCCAGGTGCCTAGGACACTGCCTGGCTTATAGTTATATTACAGTGAAACCTGTGTGAGCCAGAACTTGAAAAGACTGCTTTGTTTTTCTGGGTCTTTCAAGTTTTCTGCCTTTGACACAATGCAGCCTTATCATTTTTCTATCACCATTAGTGGGAAACATTTGAATTTTCCTTCTCTGACAGGTTTCCACCTTTCACACATTCCAGCTTTTGCACATTATGTTGTATTATTGGTTCTCTGGGTGGTGTAAATAGTTTATGTTCAGCTACTAACCAAAAGGTTGGCAGTTCGAATCCACACGGCAGTGCTATGAAAGAAAAGCCTGGCAATGTAGTTCTGGAAGAGCAGAGTCATTAAAAATCCTATGGAGTGCAATGCAGTTGATCTCTGATATATATGGGGTCACCATAAATCAGAAGCAACTCAACAGCAACAGGTTTGTCTTTGTTGTTTTTTAAAAATATTAATCACTATAACCATCAATAAGCTCATATCTTAAGGTAATATGCATAGTTTCAAAATTATGTAAGTTACATAATTAATCATTAAATAAAAATTAAAGTTCAATAAAAATGTCCTGTTTGCCCACCAGCTTTACCTATGTAAAAACTCACTAAAGTAAGAAATACTACCACAACAAGACTGAAAGCAAAAGAAAACAGGTAACCCTTCCAATCCCACTCCTAGGTGTATGTATCCTAGAGAACTAAAACCACTGACACAAACAGGCATATGTACACATATGTTCACCACAGCATTATTCAGAACAGCAAAAAGATGGAAACAACCTAACTGCCTAACAAAAAATGAATAGATAAACCATGGTATGTACACACAATGCTATGGTATAAAGACAGAAAGAATAATGGTGAGTTCTCAAAATACAGCACAGATGAATCTGGAGGACATTATGCTGGGTGAAGTAAGTCAATCATAAAAGGGCAAATACAATGATCTCATTATAATAAAAACACCAGAAGAGATATATATAGAGAGAGCAACAAAATCTGGTGGTTGCCACGGATAGAAGGATGAGGGAAGGAGAATCACTTTCTGGATCACAGACACTTGCTAGTTTTGGTGATGGGTAAGGCAGTTCTGAATAAGAGTGAATTCAGCATAACTTAACCAAGGTAAAAGATGACACCAAGAAGTTCACAAGAATAAGGGACAGTTTTGGTAAAAGCTACAACATATACAATCTTGCAAACAGAAGTAACAAACAAAAAGGGTATTTGTCATTACAAGGTACATATTTATGCTTATATATGTATGTTGTTATGATGTGCCGTCGAGTCAGACCACTCCCTGTGGTCACCTATCAGCCAAAAGACAGGGTGGCTCAGAAAATAAATAATATCATCCATGAGTATTGTGCTCCTCTAAACAATCACCTAAATGAGACCTAACAGTTAACATTTACCCTAGACCAAACACAAGAATGTAAAGGAGGATGAGGAAGCTAGATCAACGGAAACAGAACAACCAAAATGAAAATAAGAATGCTGACACATTGTGATAAAAATGTAACGTGTCATCAAACAATCTGTACAGAAATTGTTAAAAGAGAATTTGCTATGCAAATTTTCTCCAAAAACACAGTAAAATATATTTAAAAAAAAACAACTGAGAACCACATTACTCCTCAAACTCATTATGCAATAAAACAAAGCTGTTTGCCCCTCACATACTCCAGTTAATTTCCATAAGTACAAACATACTCTATATATCTGGGAAACCATTTTAAACTTTTGTGTCAAGATATTCTGGTCTCATAAATGATAAAGATACATCCTTTCTAAAACTCATTAACATTTCTTAGAATAAAGAGCTGATATAAGCCAAATTCTCAAAGTAGCTTAGTATTAGTTTTGTTTCCAGCCAAGAAATAAAGCAGAAAGCTTTCAGTACTTACATCACCACAGGGTTATTTTATGGGTCTTTAATGTGGGTATTTCATTAAAAAATATGATAAGAAAGAAAGGCTCCCTGACAACCTTCTTCAAAAAAGGAAAGGAGGGGGAAAAAAAGAGGTAACATGCCAAGAGGACTGCTTACTTGGCATTCTGTGTGGGCCAAACACTGTGGGCTCCTGCCAGTTCTAAGACAGACACTCAAGGGAAGACACTGCAGGCCCAGGGCGTGACAACTCAGAGCTGGACACCAAGAAACTGTCCTCCCCATTCACAAAGGCAACAGCTGTCTGCCTCTTCTAAGCTCGCCTGCAGTCTGGACCAGGGGCTGAGAAATGCTATTCACAGGGACAGAAGCCCTGTCCCTGTTACTCATCACTCAGTTCCCAAGAGCATAGACCAGCCCCCAGCATCTGTCAACGGACTATCCCAGAACAACCTTCTGTGTCCACGTTTAATAACCTACATGATTCTCGCTGTAATGAAGGAGACAAGTGGCTTATTTCCATAAAGTGTGAAGATATAAAAATACTGACCCAAGCATAATGAAGATAAAGTCACTGAGAAGATGGGTGGAATAAGCCTGATCCATCATTTGACTGCACTCAGAGGCCCTTATCTGCACCATCTCATCTGCTCCTACTCAGTCCTATGATATATTATGAACTCCGTGTTAGAGCTCTATGTTAGACACAAAACTGAGCAGCCAACATGTAGGTCACTTTTCAGGTCACATGGTAGAAGAGCCAGGGTTGGAACCCACATCCTTGGCCTCTTAAGTCCGTGGGTTCTTTCTACTATAACATGTGAGTGAGCAAATTTGAAACATGGAACCATCTATGGTGAAAGTATCCAGAGCAAAGTAATTCACGAAACAGGAAATAATGGTAAGTAAATAGAAATAATGTAGTTCTTAAAGAGATATACACTAAAGAAATAATGAATTCATTTTATATTAGATTATCAAAAGGAAAATTTTTTTAAAATCCACTGAAGTGATAAAACAGATGCATTAACTACCTGAAAACCAAACCCACTGCCATTGAGTGGATTCTGACTCACAGTGGCCCTATAGGACAGACTAGAACCACTGAATAGGGTTTCTAAGGCTATATATCTTTACAGAAGTAGATTTCCTTATCTTTATCCCACAGAGAGACTGGTAGGTTTGAATTGCTGACCTTTTGGTTAGCAACTGGATGCTTTTACCACTGTGCCACTAGAGTGCCTTCTTACTAACTTCTGGTAGCCAATTTGGCATTAAGAAGCATACAGTAGTTCAGTCACACATTAGTATTCGAAACCTAAAAATCTATCCCTAGGAAGTTATCTTTGAAAAAGGTACATGGAAAAAACTGTTGATGATACCATTAATTCACAACAGGGAAAACTGGATTTCCCCAGCACCTATCTCCTAGCAAAATTAATTATTTAGCATTTAATTCCTTTACAATGATTTATATTTGATGTTGCCAAAAAACATCAAAGGCATGCACCCCACAAACAGGTGCTCTGTGTTTATGCACCATAAGCCTCCCCCACCCCCAAACCTAATTAAGTACCTGCTTCATATAGGCATAGCACATGGTCTCTGCAACACGTTTGCCTTCATCGTAACAGGCTCGGGGTCCTATTGGATTCACATGGCCCCAGTAATCCTCACTTTGAGGGTGGACTTCAGGATCTATGGATAGGGGAAAAATGAGACTTTGTTTTCATCTTTCTTTCTTGCGGGCTGATAAGCAATGCAGATTTACCATGCAAAATAGAACTTTGACCAAATTAAGCATTTAAAAATGGAAACATACATATAAAAGAGGGAACTTCAATGTTCTAAAACCAAGTCTCTAGTTCTGATGGGCCATCGTGTTTTTTACTCTGATATTAAGTAATAATAGTGGTTGTCTACTTTACAGGAAAAAAAAAGAGCAAAGTCTCTCAATTTTAAGTCTTCACTTTCTCCTTTAAATTTTGCTTAACTTTTAGACTGTTTACACAAACTATAACTAAATATCATCTATATGAAGGGATACATGGTTTAAATCTTGTATTTGTAAAATACATAAGTACAATAAAGCATACATTTTGAATGAACTAAAAACTAAAAAAATCTCTGTGGAATACCATATGGTATACCAAATATGCCATCACCAAAACAAAACTGAGAACCACAGATGGGAAAACCAGAAGGCCAGGATTAGTGTGGGCAGAGAGCAAGAGTGGTCCCATGGCAAATGGATGCTTGTTCCTTTCATGTTTATTTTTTATTTCCTAATTCCTGTTTTTGTAGCATGTAAAATCAAATCTCATTTTAAAATGTACCCAAGAAACAGACTATTTAAAGAAACCTAGTAATAAATTCTGTTTAAATGCAAGAATATTTCTGGAATGTGAATTGATACCTAATTTATCTGGTACACCAGGAATTTTATGCATACTCTGAACATAACCATGCTGTAAAATGTATATGTCTTTCGCAAGAAATTTAGAAAAACAAGGTACAAGAAATATATTCTATAAATTCTTGTTCTTGTACCTAAAGTTTGACTTCTGGCTCATTTGTGACATGATGACATGGGGCAAGAACATGAAACGAACATACTCTTGCCATATGTGTTCTGAGTTGGCCATAGCAGCATTTTAGAAGTATGGCACAGAATAAAACTTCTTTATCTGCTGCTGTGGTTTAAAATTAAGAAGGGACACATTTTTTCCAGTGCAAAATGAAAGAAAATGCTAAAGGCAAATACTCCCTGAGAGAAGAAAACCAAAGGCTTAAATTCACACAGATGTAAGAGATAATTGGTATCACATCTTTTTCTGGGGATTTCTGCCTAGGGCTGGGCAAGCTAGACCCTGAGAGTGAAGGAAGACAGATGAGGCAAAGGATGGGAACGAGGAAACTGAGTATACCCAATCCGCCCCTTAACTGGTCCCCATCTGAACTGAAATAAAATGCCCAGGATACCAATGTTCATGAAAAAGTCCCCTCACGGAATCACTTTGTTATTTTACAAAAGCAATAGTGCAGACTCAAAAATGATCGCCAGTCTCCTCTTTTCAGCACTTTGTGAGGCTAACATATGAAGCACATACTCCACAAAACCAATTTACCTTATTTATCAACCACCAGACTAAAACAATGAGTGAATGTTGCAAATTACAATACAATGATATAACAACTCTAAGGAAAATAAGCAGATAATAGGCAGATAATAATCAATCAGGTGGACAGGGAAGAAAGGTGGATGTGGAGATGAAATTGCATCATTCTGGACATGTAACATGAGCACTTTTATGTTTTAGATATTTTAATACTCGGCTCTTGCATTATATCAACAACCTTCTTTTCGTAATCTATTAAGCCAGTCAGAGAAACCAAAGGGGAATCAGGCAATGCCACAGAAGTGAAACCTGAGGATCGTTTGTTGAACAAACCATGATATAGGTAAGAACCAAGCCCATTGCCATCAAGTTAATTCTGACTGATAGCAACCCCCATAAGGGTTTTCAAGGCTATAAATCTTTATAGAAGCAGACTGCCTCATCTTTCTCCTGCAAAGCAGCTGATAGGTTCAAACTGTCAACCTTTTGGTTAACAGCCCAATGCCTTAACCACAGTACCACCAGAGCTCCTTATGCGAAGGACAAACAAACAAACAAAAAACCCAAACTCACTGCCATCAAGTCAATTCCGACTCATAGCAATCCCTCCTTGTGTTTCTGAGGCAGTATCTCTACTGAAGTACATTGCCCAGTCTTCCTTCTGATGAATGGCTGGTGGGTTTGAACCGCCAGCCTTCTGGTTAGCAGTCAGATGACTTAGGCACTACACAACTAGAGATCCTGTAGGAAGAACGGGGAGGGGAAATGCAAGAGTCCACTCAACTTCCTAATCAAAAAACAATGGAGTAAGCATGAGGTGAGGTGGAACCTTCTCTTTTAACTTCCAAAGACTGCAAAGGAGAAGTGGAGAATGTGCTACCTTTTCACAGAAATTATAAAGATATAAATGAATGCATTTGGTAGGATATTTGTTTCAGTGATTTTTTTTTCTCCTATTTGGTTTCTTTAGTTAAACAAAAATGGATCTCCTCGGACTTTACCCACCTACTTATTTCTTCTATCCACAATGATAATGTGAAGTAGAAAAATCACATTATGTCAGAGTCTGGCTTCCACTGAGTCAATCAAGCTGTTGTCACTGCACTCATACTCATTTGGCATTTGAACGGAAGTCAACATAAATTGAAAAGGCAGCTCTTGTCACCACTCCTAATACTCAGTCCCTCTAAGATCAAAATTGTATTTCTGGTGGATATGGGGAGATGTTGAGAGTGCTATAGGTTGGTAAAATAAGTCTATCTTTCTGGTACAATCCATTTACGATTCTACCAGAAATCATTATAAAACACCTCAGGCTATCAATGCATATTATCTTCACCAACTCCAAGTTCTCAGTAGGTCAGACATGCAACATGTATTGTTTCTACTGAAGAGTAACACATCGGGTAAACAGTTTCTTAAAATGAATTGATTTCTGGAGTACTTTCAGAGCTGAATGGTAAAAAATATACTTTTATGGATGCATAAATGGTGGGTCCTTAATTTGCAAGGTTACATGATACAATACTCCTAAGGTGTGCTTCAGCAGTTTAAAAAAGAGAGAGAGGTTCATTCCACCCAGAGGAGGAGATGGCTGAAACAAAAGCTTCTTTGCTATTTATTATCTGTGGGATTAGGAAGTATAGGCTTGACTTTCTTCAAAGTGGAGCCCTGGAATCATCTTTTATTCCTTTTTTTATCTGAGACAGGATGAAAACAGTCAAATGGGACCAGAGTAACCTGCCTCAGAGGGGAGCCCTTTACTCACCGCCATACACCTCAGAGGTAGAGGCCAGGAGAAGACGGGCACCAACTCGTTTCGCCAGCCCTACAGAAAGCAAAAATATGATGAGAAGCTGTGCGTTACGGGAAAGCACACATGCATGTGCACATTTTTGTTGCCAATTTAAGAATTTTTTTAATTATTAAAGGTATCTTTAATTATCCCTACTTCTTCAACTACCCACTCATATTGCATCTACTTTGAAACCAAAATCAAAATAAAAACAGTAAGGAAAACACAAATGAATCCTCAGGACAGTAATTCATTGGATACTTGTAAGCAAAGCCAACTTGCACAAATGCAGAATCTGTTGATTTGGTAAGGTGTGACTTAGGAGTTTCATAAAGACTTCTTTGTCTCAAAATATCATTGAGTATTTTATCAGGTAACTTCACACTGATAGGCAGAAGGCAAGGTCCTTTTTACCTTTACTTCTACTATTTTTTCATTACCTGAACATCCCACCCCGCTCCAATGTCTGTGTTCATATCCCTCTATGTTTGGGCAATACCATACCACCATCCTCCCACCTCTTTATCTGCTTCTTTCAAGGTTCAATTTAAACAGCACCTTTGCCAAAGCAACTTGCCACCCTTTCTCTATCCTGCTCTAGCCGCCTTTCCTGCATTTACCACTCATATATAGAGTAAACTAGTAAAATAAACAAAGCCAGTTCTCGTTAAGATGGTTCCCACTCCTGGTGACCTCCTGAGTGCACAGTAGAACTGCTCTACTTTGGGTTTTATGGCTATGTATGCCCTTTCAGAAGCAGATCACCAGGCCTTTCTTTCAAGGAGCGTCTGGGTAGATTCAGGTGGTAACCTTTCAGTTACCAGTTCAGCCCTTATATACCACCCAGGGCCTTAGAATGGACTAGCTTCCATCAATATCTTTTTCAAACTAGTGATTAAGTAAGTATGGAAAACATTACAAACATTTTCTTAAATGCAGTGCCCTAAACTACAGTAATTCAAAGGCTCAGGGAAGTCCTGCACAAAAGAAACTCATTTCCCTTGGCCTAATGTCCTGTTTCCCAAGCGTATTCCATCAGAGCTTTCTGTGTACAGAGCACCACTATAAGAGAAAGGGGTCTGTGTCTCACACCTCCTCAGCATCAAACACTGCACACAGGATGGAAGTCCAATGTTTACCCAGAAAGTGTTCTAGGAGGGAGACATGAGGCATGCATACATAATCTGTGAGTACTTCCTGGGAGGCTGGGATGGTAGTGAAGGGTCCTAGCATAAGGGTATCAAAGGTAAAAATGTACATGAACATCTGAGGGAGGGAATCAGGGAGCCACAATGAGTTACATAAAGAAAAGAAAACGGGGTTGCTAAAACTGTAAGGATTTGAAGATAAACTGTGCAAACCCAACAATCCGCTTGAAGCAAAAAATGTTAAAAAGATTCCATATAAGATGACATTTACAGGCTACCGACACAAAGATGCTTCTAATTTCACACCACAGAAGTCTGGGAGATGGACCATCACAGTGTATTACTCAGTGGAGACAATGGTAGTAGCTTCAAAAGGAAGAATCCGTTTGTCTTTTTCTTTTTTTGTAATTAAATTTTTTATGATTACATAATTGTAGATACAAATGCAGTGGTGAGAAGTAATACAGAGACATTGACCTGTATATGTAAAAAATGATGACTTGGCAAATGTGTTACACAGTAAAACCTCCAAAAGCTGGAACCTCTATAAGGTAGAAATCTGTCAGAGAAGGAAAACTCAAAAAATATTTTCCACTAACAAAGAGTGACTACGACTGCAGCCTGTCAAAGGCAGAAAACCTGACACACCAAACCACAAAGCAGTCTCATCAAGTTCCAGCTCTCACAGGTTTCACTGCATATATTATCACAACTAACAAAAGTAATAGAGAGATCTTTTATACTTTTACTCAGTTTCCCCTAACAGTGAAACCTTGGAAAACTCTAGTATGGTAGCACAGCCAGGATAATGACATCAATAGTCATGACACAGAACACTCCACCTGCTACCTCATGTTGCCTTTTTATAGCCATGCCTCCCTCCCTCCCTCCCTCCTCTTTCCTTAACCCCTGGCAACCACAAATTTTTTTCTCCATTTCTATAATTTTATCATTTCAAGGATGATATACAAATGGAACCAAACATACATAACTTTTAGGGACTAGATTTTTTCACTTCACATAATTCCTATGAGACTCATCCAAGTCATGTTATGTATCAATAGTTCATGCCTCTTTATCACCAAACAGTAAGTCTGTTGCAGGGATGTACAACACTTTATTCAATCATTCATCTATTATAGGGCATGCTGGTTGTTTCCACTCTGGTAGCTCAGTGCCTAAGGCATCTGACTGCTACCCAGAAGGTTGGTGGTTCAAACTCACCAGCTACTTCACAGAATGAAGACTGGACAATCTACTTCTGTAAAGATTTACTGCTTTGAAAACCCAATGAGAATCACTATGAGTTGGAATCAACTCAATGGCAGTGGTTTTTGGTTTGTTGTTTCCAGTTTATGGCTGTTATGAATAAAGCTGCTATGAGTATTCATCATAGATTTCTGTGTGAACCTAAGTTTTCACATTTCTGAGATAAATACTCATGAGTGCAATTACTAGGTCAAATGGGAGTTGCACTAGGAAGGAAAGTTGGACAATCTACTTCTTTAGTGATACTGCCTTGGAAACCCAAGGAGGGGTTGCTATGAGTTGGATCCAACTCGACAGCACTGTTTTGTTTTGTTTTAACCCCCTTTGTAATAGGTTAATAATTATTTTTAGTTTAGCTCCAGGATCTGATTAGCCCTTGACACAAGTTAATTCAAGGAGTCTGACCTGACCAGGACCAGAAGATTCATGCTATCAGGATATACATGCCCAGAGAAAGCAACTCTACCCTTCAGCTGACTGTGGAACCAAAACTCATTAGAATTACATCATTTGTGCAGTACAGACCCATTTCAGAAGCAAGGGGTCCACCGGCCACTTTCACGCCAAGCTACAATCCTGCATTCTAATCTATAATCATGACCCTCCCCCAGAAATCTCACGAATAAGCTTAACTTCCCCATTTGCTGCAAGCTTAAAAGTGAAAGTAAGTAACCCAAACCAAAAACAAAAGCAAACTCACTGCCATTGAGTCAAATCCGACTCATAGCAACCCCTCCTTGTGTTTTCCAGGCAGTATCACTACAGAAGTAGATTGCCCATCCTTCCTTCTAAGGAGTGACTGGTGAGTTTGAACTGCCAGCCTCCTGGTTAGCAGTCAAATGCCTTAGGCACTACGCCACCAGAGCTCCCCTGCTGAACTCCTTTGGAGACAGCAGTCTCAGCTGCTCCTTCACATTGGCCTTCTGAGTAATGCTTCTTTCCTCGCCTCAACCTGAATCTATGATTCTGTGAACTGAGCTGAACAGAACCTGGACCTGGATTTGTAGTTTCATTTCCTGGTGAGCCACCCAAAAATGCCATTTGGTGGTCAGTCTGTGCCCACTTGGATGAAAGAATGCTTGGGGTGCCCCTGGAGAGTTCTCCAGAGAGCCTTCAACATGTGAGACTCAGCCCAGACCCAACAATGACTCCTTGAGAGGCAATGGAAGAACCTTATCTCAGGAAAGCTTACGTATGTTCTGATCAGAGGTCTGAGTGTGTAAATCTGGTCATTATTTACCAAATTTACAGTTGCTGTTGTTGAGCCTGTGCTGAGGGCAGGAATGCCCAGTATTTAAGGAAGGGAAGCAAAGCAGCATTAATTGCTGTAAGTGTTAGGATTGGTAAACTAACCTGCCTGTCTGGTGGCTTTTCTCTTTTGATCTTCTGATGCAGTTTCTTTGGTTTTGAGATGGGTAACAACCAGGGTATACCAAAGCACATTCCTCTAGGACATATTTTAAAATATTGGAACAAATTTGGTTATGATCCCATGAGGAAGAAAAATCTGGTTTTTTCTTTTGTAAAGCACGATCCATAGCCACAATACAAGTTAGGTGACCAAAAACACTGGCCACCTCATAGGTCAGTAAATTATAATACTATTTTACAGTTGGATTTGTTTTCCTCCCACATTGGCAAATGGGATGAGTAAATGTCCACAGAATTTTTCCTATCTTTGTATAGTGATAAAGAAACTCAACAAGCTTTCAAGATTTGTGTTAGACTATTACTAAAGGTAAGCAGCCTTCAGCTCCTCCCCTGGAACTGATTGGAGGAGAGGATCTTTATGACCCCTTAAGTCCCTTGAACCCCCCCTCCTCCATAACCACCTGAACCAGACTCCACTTTTGAGCAGAAGCCACAAGTGAGAGGTGAACCTGCAGGAGGCTCCCTAATTTCCCCTTCTCATACCTGCCAGGGCACACCCTATCAGGTACCTGATTTGACCCAGAAAGGGCCAGAGACTGGGCCAGGCCATGGTGTTATGGCTAGAGGTCACTATCCACTTCAGTAAACCCCCACAGGTTAGGATGCATGTGTCTTTTGGCACAGCAGACTTATACCATTGGAAGAATTACACTCTAGTTTCGGTGTAGTAGATTTCTTAATGTGGCTTTTCTACCTATAAGTCTTTGTAAACTCTGTGGTGGAATTTGTTGTAAGCAACTGAGGAGCTCCTGATTGTAAAAGTTATCCACCTGGGGTATTTCTGTTGGGCGTGGCACAAAGTAATGTTCAGGGAAGTTTGCTCTCTCTCAAGTACTTAGAATTCCGATGTTATGATTAGCTAGTTTGGCCATGATTAGCTAGTTTGGGCACTCTGCCAGGCTCAAAAGGAGGCCTCCTAGAGACAGAAGTCTCTCTGACTGCTGGCTGAGGACGTATTGCTGAAAGAGACATGCGCTCCTGAGAGACACGTGCTGCTGGGAAAGAGACACAAGAGACACGCATTGCTGAGAGAGACACCGAGGAACACACACAGCTGGGACAGAGACTGTGAGAGACTGTTGGTGGAGAGACAGCAGGCTGAAAGAGACTGAGTGTTTTTCCTGAACTTGAATTGTAACCTGGTGCTTCCCTAATAAACCCCATAATCTGTGAGTTCTGTGTAGC